AGAAGGCAATTCATTCTCGTCCAGCAGTGGGCGCATAGATGTTAATAAGGAGGAGGTGATGTTGTGCGAACTGCATGCGAATGGTGAGCAGGCAGCCAGGGATGACCTCTTGGGCTACCTCTGAGTCAGGTGTCAGCTGTGGTGACAGAAGGATCGTGACCTCTGTGCTGAGGGAGGTGCCATGACTGAAGAAACTACTGCCCTTCCAGGCAGCATGCCAGCTAGCTTGATGGCTCCATCAGTGTATGTTTCCTTCAGAAAGGCAATAACCAGCCTTTTCTGGCACAGAAAATCGAAGAGTGCTGTCCACTTCACAGGGTCTCTGCAGCCATTGGCATTGAGAGAGCCAAAGGTTGTGGCAGCCATGTGTGAAGGTGTAGAAAGGGGGATAGGCAAGGCCAAAACAGAGGGAGAACCAACAGAAAAGAGCAAATATGCAGGACAGGGAATGACTGGGCCTACAACTCCCCAGCTGGTTCCTCTCATAATAAGCACCCAATATCACCTGCAAGTCTGCTAAGGCGAAAACTATAATGCTGCATCCCTGGATTGGAGTGCAGTGCCACTGCTGCAGCCTTAGCAGACACCACAAATGTCCCAGGGCCTGGGAACCATTTACATATGTGCTGTGCAACCCTCCAGTGGTGCTTGGTTTGGTCTAGAAACTCAAAGAGGTATTCAACAGAGTAGCCAGCACAGGGAGGTTCCTCAGAAGCAGGAACAGGTTCCACCTCTGGGGTGGGGACGCTCCCTATTGAGGGAGGCAGCTTAGCTGAATTGGGGGATGCTACTCCCTGAGGAAGGACTTCTGTCAACTCATCCTCAGAGGCAAAATCAAAGTCCAACTCTAAGGAGGAAGAGCTGTACATGTCAGGCACTGAGACCTGTTAAGCCCAGGGGGAGCACTTGACCCCTCACCAGGATCCTCAGCAGCAGGCCCTGTAGGAGCAGTGTCACTCGAGGGGTCTTGGGGGGGTGACATCAGTCCCTGATCTCTTGAGTGGGGTGCTCTCCTGGGGTGGGCACTCTTGGTCCTGGAGCCACTTGTGGCTCCCAGGGGGTCCAACCTCCATATCAGTTTCATCAGGCTCAAGGATCTGAGAGATGGGGGGAGGGCCATTGAACTCCCCCACCACCTCCCCTACCCCCAGCTCACCCCCATCCACTACAGGGTCTGGAGGGGATGCTGAGGAGGCAGGCAGAGAGGGAGGCCACCCTGCTGGCCAGGCCGATCAGGCCCTGGCCCACCTCAGTGGTAGGAAGGTAAAGGGCGGCTCGTGGGAGCCAGTGGCATCCATTCCAAAAGAAGTCCACTAGGAGCCACTGCAGCTTCTTGAGCAGCTGCAGGGTCACTGCTGCCAGACTGTTGGTGATGAGGACCTGGCCGTGGTAGGAAAGGGTGGGCAAGCACCAGTGCTGCAGGTGGGCTTCCACTCCCTCCGCCAGGTCCTTCCAGTTGCGGGCTGCAAATGCCAGTGGCCTCAGGAACACTCCCAGGGCTTTGAGGCCTTCCCAGCACCAGGCAAGGCCCCCTGGCAGGTCCGGGGGGGGGTGGTGTGTGCTGGCCCACGTCCCAAGCAGGAGGGTGTTGCACTTGCCTCAGTCGATGCGGGCCAACGTAACCCGTCAGCTGGATTGGGGGGCCGGTGGTCAGGGCCGGTGCCTGTGGCAGGGCTAAGCCGGTCAGGTCACGTTGCAGAATGTGCAGCAGTGGTTCAATGGCCAGGGCGTACAGCATGCCCAACAGGGGGCAGCCTTGGCAGATTCCCTGACACACCGGGAATGGGACGCACAGCACGCTGTTCACCTTCAGCAGGCTGGAGGCATCAGGGTACAGGACCCGGAGTGCCGCGATGAAAAGAGGCCTGAAATCGAAAGCTTCGAGGGTGCTGAGTCGGTACCAGTGGTCAACACAATTGAAGGCCTTCTCCTGGCCCAGAGAGAGCAGGCTGACATCCAGGCCAAATAGCTCCGCAGCCAT